CTATTTCTTATTTAGTGAGGTCCACCAGATACAGAGACTCAGAAGTTGTTAGCATAGAAGAACCACGTGATACATGATTAAGAGAAAAAAATAAAACATCTCAGATAAAATAGCCTAAGCCAAAATGTTGGCAAAAGCAGTTTACCATTTTCAGTATCCTGACTAGATGCACCTCACTTTCTTATCATGTTTCCATCATATTTACCAGCATTACTCCAGCCTTATCAAGATACATCCATTGACAGCCTCTTTTTCACTGTTGTCATTATCACATAAGTACTTCATTCCCTTCTTATTCATGGTCATTTATTATCATCAGTCCCTTTCTGTCCTTCCTCCTTGGCAAAACCCCAACTCTGCATAAACCAAACTACTTATTTCCTGCCTGAACCTGAACAGCTTAATATTGGTTAAGAAAAGCATATACCTGTGCTAATTGGTTTTACTTTGCATTCAAAACCGCAGACCTCAAATAGGACCTAGCAATGTGGAGCAGTCTTGCTACATATCCCTAGTAAACCTACTTTCCCTCTCACTTTTCTTTCTTTCTTTCTTTTTTTAATCTTACTGAGTTTATTCGTACTTTTTAAGTATACAGTACAATTACATTCATCATTGGGATCTTGTACCTTTACATGACAGATCTTGGTTCTCATTTTTTCCCCATACCCCTACCCTCCCTTCACCGCCTCCACTCTCCACCTATTTACAAAAACTTTGTTTCCATTTTTTTCCTTTTCTCATATTTTTTCTTGTCCCTTATTTCCTTCCCCTACCCTTCCCACTTCCCCTACACCTTTAGCCCTTTTCTTCGTATTTCACATTATCAGTTATACAATTTAGATCTTATTTGCACTTTCAGTTTTTCACACCAGAGAAACTATTCAGTATTTACACCTGTGTATCTTATTTATTTCACTTGAGTATGGCCTCAGTATGCATCTCACTTTTCAAAATGACTGTTTTATTCTCCTTTTCTCAACTCTGTATACTACCTGCTTTTTCACTTTCAGCTGATAATCTCACCTCATATTTAATGACAAAATAAAAACAATGGGGGCATTTGGAACATGAATTTCTTTGTCTTTCCTATCAGCAAATCTTCCAACCCCTTTATATTTGTACTCACATTCCTGCTTACCCTTCTGTTACAAAAGAAGAATGAGGCAAAAATCTCCCCTTGTGCTTTGGATTCTATTCCCCTTTTGACTTCTTAGGAATTTTGCCATTTCTAGCCATAATACTTCCTCCTTTCTGTCTCACGAATACCCCCTTTTTTCTGTATAATTATCTTTGACATTCCTAACTGTGGTCCATTTGGCACGCTTTTTTTTAAAAAACATCAAAACAGAATCATAGTTTATGTCTTTTTTGTCTTTAATTGTCTTTCATCCTCCAGTCAGGTTTCTATCTCAACCATTTGATGAAACAATACTGCTTTTCAGTAACATCACAGTAATTTCCTCTCCTTTCAGTTTACATCAAACTCTATCTCTCATTATTTTATATATCAGCCACTATTCCCTCTTGATAAACTTCTCTTGACTTCTGTAATACCTTATTCTCCTTTCTAGCATCTCAAGTACCCTCCTTTTCTGTTTCCATTGTTGATTCCTCTTTATTTGCTAGAATGCTGTCTTCCCTGGCTGTTTTGTCCATGTAGGGCATGTCCTCCAGTGCCATGACTTTACGTGTCATTATCTTCTGTGCCAACAACTCTCAAAACCTTGCTAGTCTTGTCTATTTAGAAATGAGCTTGGCTTCACAAATTTAATGTGACCAAAACAAAATTCTTGATTTTTACCATGTACGGAAACTCCTCTTCTGTCTTTGGCATTTTAGTAAATGATAACAGCAACTACTGAATTGCCCAAAACCATTTTTCATTTTGCAGAGATCTTTAACCTTTACTGTGGGAGCAGTTACATAGAAAATACTGATTGCTTTTAAACGTGTTTCTTATGGGGGGAGGGAAACATCTTGAATTCTCTTATATATATAATATGCACAGTTTTATGTCTTGAACATTGTCTTTCATCTATTTTTAGATGAACTTATTACTTATAAAAATAAAGTCACCAATACAAAAGTAGTTACCAATCCAAGGAGATAATTCCTACTTTAGCTGAGCTTCAGTATAAGGTACTTCTTAGAATATCACAGGGATATAGGATGTATGTGTGTATTTGGGTTGCAAAATAGATATGGCAATGTCTTCCTGGTATTTAGTTTGGGATTTTTGTGCTCTTAAACGATCTTGTGACCTAGAGATGAAATTAAAACATACTTGAACATATAATCTGGAGTTTCAGATGACTTGAATGTTTAAGAAATAAATTCTGCACTGAAAGTTCAGACTTCTGTACCATTTGAGATTGACCAGGAGGAAATGGCTCAGAGTTGAGCATTCACTCCTAGCTGCTGGTTGGAGCACTTTGGAAAAAGAATTTTGAGACAATGGGCTTCATGTTGATTTGGGGGTTTTGTTGTTGTTGTTGTTTTTAAATGAATCTTGTCAAATCCTTTGAAATGAATGGATTAGTATTACATTTCTTTAAAAAGAAGTTTAAATTCATCCTTAATTGTATTCCCTCTTTCATTTCCTTAGATTAGTTAGTGTTCATAATACAGGAAGAACCAGAATAAGTCTTGGAAAGCTAGACTGAGACCAGAGAGCTTTTTGCAGTGAAACTTAAATAATTACCTGCCTATTATAAATAACTGTACATTAGTGATTTGAGGGCGGGAAGCTCTTTCAAATTAATGAATACTCATAGTATTCTCTAAGGTGGACACAGGGCAGCATAAATGTTTTCTCTGAGGAAAGTGGTTTATGGTGGTACTGTCTGTTTCCGGTTTGATCTTCTAGTCTTGTCCTTAGTGCAAAAAGGCTTTACATTGGTATTTTTGTTATTAAACAAGAAAATACTGAAAATGAGTATAAAACATCTTATCCCACAGTGGAAAACCATATAGATCAATTGAAAGCCTGCTGTTTTTGTTTTTATTTTTTGTTTATGCTGTTTGAAAAGCAGTAAGTCATAATTCTCTTCTAGAAAGTTCCCCAGCTAATTGAATGTTAAATACTGCCTTAAGTGCAGTTAATTCAGTTAGCAAACCTTGTTTGTGTATCTACCAAGTACTGGACTAATTTCTAGGACCAAGAATTTAGGTCAGTGAGACTGGTCAAGAAAAATCTGAGATGGGTTAAAGGTGACGTTTATTTGAGCAAGAAAATAGTTCTAGGACCAAACAGCTTTCTGGATTCGAGTTGGTTCAGAATTTCCCACCCTACCCTGTAAGTGGGCTCTGTTCATAGCCAGAGAAAAGGAAATGACATACAGAAACCTGATTGGCAGCAGCCAGCATTTGCCTTATATAGGCATAGTGTGATGAGGCATTTGCCTTATATGGATATGGTCTTTCATTTGGCTGACTGTGATTGGCCAAAATTTGATTCTTGTGATTGACTGAAACTCAGCTATCTGTTAAAAGAACAGATTCTAAGTTTCTGTTTTCTGTTTGCCTTTAATAAAACGATGGTCAAAACATTCACTTAAGGCAGCAGAAGCAACCTAATTTCTTTATGCCTTAGTTTTATGATTTGTAAAGTATATTAAAAATATTTACTTATCAGGGATAGAGACACCAAGATAGAGAATATGCATGTGAAAACCTTTCACAAAATACAATTAAATAAATGTAACATTTTATTATATGTACTTGTTTAAATGGAGTCAAAAGTTATGTTTAGTGTATGTCATTATTTCTGTCACCACTGTTTGTTGTTCGACAAAAAACCAATTGAGTTTGGGCTCATCCCTTGTGGATTGTTTGTGCTTTAATGACTGTGGTGTTGAAAAGTCCAAGATGTCTTAGTCAATTTTATATTGCTTGCTGTAACAAAATATGTTACATTAGGTAATATATAAAGAAAATAAGTTTATTTGGCTTACAGAACTGGTGACGAAAGTTTAGACCACAAGGCACTATTGAGAGCCTTCTGGTTTGTGTCACAGCACAGTGGCTGGCATCACATGTCAGGAGTGAATACAAAAGGAAAAAGAAGGACAGACATTGAGTATTTATTGAGTTACCAGGTGAGACAGAACACAAGAGACAGGCTCAGTCTTTTATAAAAACTAATCACAGCTCTGAGAGGTAACTTCAGTTATCCATTTCATACACATAACCACCTCTCTTAAAGGCCTTATGAGTTTTGCTGGGAACAAATTACATTCAGACTGTATCATGGGGCCTGGGATTTAGTTCAGTGCTTCTGCCGCCTGCCTTGCAAGCGCAAGGTTCTGAATTTGATCCCCAGTACCAAAAACAAAAAACAAAACAAACATGTATCAGATGTCAAGGCTTAATGGCTGATTTCTGTCACTTAAATTGAAGAAAGGATTAAAGCATCAGATGGATGATTGGGCACATGACCTTTAAAGAACTTTCTAATTCTACCATTTCATAATTCTAAAATGAAATAGTTTAAGGAAAATGTCCCAGCCTTAGTAGAACAAAAAGTATTTCCTTTTCTGGCCATGAATGTGATTAAAAATATATATAAAGCAATCTGTTTGTGGTGCTAAGAGATGAAGCCAGGGCCTTTGCCCTGAGCTATGTCCCCAGCCCTTTTTTATTTTTAATTTTGAGACAGAGATCTCACTGAGTTGTGTAGACTGGGATCAAACTTGTGATCCTCCTGCCCCAGCCCCAAAAGTTCTGAGCTTACAAGAATATACTACCCTACCCAGCTATAATAAATATTTCAAAATATGTTCAAGTTTCAGTCTCCATGACCAGCTATCTCAGCTAGCATGTCTTTTATGCATGAGTAAGAAACAGTGCGGTCAAGAGAAATGGCATTTTAACTCATAGGTATTCCTTCCTAAATATCTATTCTGTTGTACTCTAGAGAAGCAATTTTTTTGCTCTAAATTGTATTGAGAATCTAGTAGTGACTGTTGCCCTATACTAAAATGTTTTTCTTTTCAAAGGTACGCCAACCTGTTATATGCATCAACAACCATGTATTTTGCTCTGTTTGTATTGATTTGTGGTTGAAGAATAATAGCCAGTGTCCAGCTTGTAGAGTCCCCATCACTCCTGAAAATCCTTGCAAAGAGATTATAGGTAAGGGTCTATTTTATATATAAATAGAAATAGATTTCAAACAATTTCCAAATGTATATTTTTGGGGAGACTGAAATCCACAGTTTTTAGTGATGTTATTTGGCCAGCGTCATAGTGGGTGAATTAGTAGTTTGTATAATGTTTATGTGGAGTAGCTAGAACAAAGCATCATAAGACAATGGACCTTACATTCCACAGAGATGGCACCTGTGGACCAGAATGTAAATGATTAAAGCAGCAGATGCAGAGAGGAGGGGATGGTGAACAGAGTTTAGGAAAGCTCACTTAGGAACATTGAGAAAAGCTTTATAAATACATGGTCTTTAAGCTAGACATTTAAGGATGAGTAAGATTTTAACTAGTAAAAATTAGGGATACTGTGTCATGTAGTGAAAATAGAGTGAATAAGATTCAGATCTAGGAAAATATAGAGCATGTTTTTGGAAAAGATCAGTAATCTAGTTTGGATCTGACTACTGAAGTAAGACTGAAAGGGTAAATTGAGACTTTATTGTAGAGAACTTTGAATGACAGCTAAGCCAGGGACTTACTCTATGGGTGGAAGTAAGGATGAGGAGCAAGGAATGGGTATGATCCAATGTGTTCTTTGAGAATACTACTTGGGTAGCTTTTATTATAGGAGAAAGACAGAATGTGGGTGAGTCAGGTAGGAGATTTTTGTGTGAGTCTGCATTAAGAGTTAAAAAAAATTCAATACCACATTAATGCAGGTGAGGGGATTAAAACTTGAGCTAGATTACTCACTTCAGCAGTACATATTCTAAAATTGGAACAATACAGAGAAGATTAGCATGGCCCTTGAATAAGGACCTCAATCAATTCATGAAGAGTTCCATATATTTATGTAGAAGATTGAAGCTAGACCCATATCACGCATCATGTACAAACTAAAATAAAAAATGGCTGAAAGATCTAAATATTAAAATAGAAACGTTTAATCTGCTAGGAGGAAATAAAATAGGTAAAACTTGAAAATATAAGCATAGGCAAGGTCCTTCTGAACAAAAAACCTGATTGCATAAGAAATAACATCAAGAATCAACAAATGGGATTATTATATAAATTTAAAAGCTTTTGCACAGCAAAGGAAACAACCAACAGAATGAAGAGACAATCTACAGAATGGGAAAAATTTTTGTCAGCTCTACCTCAAACAGAGGACTAATATCTAGAAAAAATAAAACAACTCAAAAAAATTAGATGCTCCAAAATAAAAAAGATCCAATCAAAAACTGAAATGAGGGTAGGGGAAAGGTAATAGGGGAAAAGAAAAAAATATGAGAAAATGAAAAAATGGAAATGAAGTGTTTGTAAATGGAGAGGGGGTGAAGGGAGGGCAGGGACAAGGGGGAAAAAGAAGATCCAAGACCTGTTATGTAAAGGTGCAAGATCCCAATGATGAATGTAACTATACTGTGTACCTAAAATATACCAATAAACTCAGTGAGAGAAAAAAAACTGAAATGAACAGGAATTTCTCAGAGCAAATACAGATGACCAGTAAATACATGAAGAAATGTTCATCACTGCTGACCATTAGAGAAAGACAAAACAATACTCAAATTCCATCTTACTACAGGAAAAAATGGCTATCATCAAGAAATCAAATAATAAATGCTTCCAAGGTTGCAGGAGAAAATTCTTCTCCGTTGTTGGTGGGAATGTAAACTGGTACAACTACTGTAGAAATAGATACAGAGATTTCTCAAGTAACTGAAACTAGGAATTCCATATAACCCAGCTAAAAAATCATATTATAGTATAGCCATGTTTATAGTATAGCACATTTCATAAAAGCTTGGAAGTGGCCTAATGTCCAAAAACAGATGAATGGATAATGAAGTGGTATTTATGCAGAGTGGAGTACTACTCTGCTATCAAGAAGGATAAATTTGAGTCATTTGTAGGAAAATGGATGCACTTTGCTACCATAATATTAAGTAAAATAAATCAGATACAATTTACTGCATGGTTTCTCTCATGTGAGAAACCTAAATTATAAATAAGTTAAAGAGCAGATAGATAATAGGAAACAGGGAGATAGATTGTTTGCAAATGTGGAACAGTTGGCCAAGAAAAGGAGGGAGAAGACGGGAAGTAAAAAGAATTAAGGTGGGTAATGTATATGTTGCAGCTCTCTACAATGAATGGAATTGCTATGTACTTTAAATGTATACTTTTTTTTTTAAATTAGAGGATCTTCTGCCAGGCAGGGGACTTAGCTCAGTAGTGCTGCCACCTGCCTCGCTAGCACAAGGTCCTGAGTTTGATCCCCAGTACCAAGAAAATATTAGAGGATCTGTGAAAACACATTTAAAGTGCCTTTTTTATGTTTAATTTTATTCTCATATAGGTTAGGGTTTTTTTCCTTTTGCATTTATTTATTTATCCTATTGTAGTGCTAGGGATAGAATTTTGGACCTGGTACAAAAATGGCAAGTGCTCTTATCACTGAGCTACATCCCCAGCCCATGTTACTTCTTTTAGGTTGCAAAAATTAAAATGCTGCTTATTTGTTTTTGCTTCAGTAAACAATGAAAGTGAATCTGTAATTAGCCATAGGTAGAAAACACCTTTCAGAAAATGTAGTCATTGTAACAGTCCCAAATTAGGGAAAATTAACTTAAACAAGATTTTTACAGTGAAAGTAGGTAAGGAGATATATGCTAGAGAGAAGAACCAGTGGCAGTTTAGAAATAAAAGATCCAAAAGAAATATCAAAGTTGGCTCCAAAATTTCTCCCTTGGCTACCAAGTAAAGTCTAATGGAGGACTGTTCTATACTGTGTTGTATTATACATGGTTAACCTTTCTGTTTCTACATTTTTATTTACCATACTTAACCAGGGAAACAAGTTTTTTCTTGCAGGGAATTTTGATGAGTTTTGATGATTAAACTTTAATATTTCTTCCACTCAGCTTTTCTTCACAACTCTCCTTTTTGCCTTTATTCATTCATATCTGAGTTTGTTTTTTCAGTTCTAGAGACTGAACCCAAGACTTTGCACATCCTAGGCAGTGTTTTACCACAGAACTTCATGCACAGCCCCATATCTAATTTACATTTCATAAATTCTCTCAAGTAAATAGTTTACCCATCCTTGCTTTTGGCTAGAATATCCTAAAAGAGAGTATCTGGAAACTGCTTTTTGATATCATGATGCTAAGAAGGTAACCTCAGCATATGTGAAGAGCTCTCAAAAAACTTCATATTTAGTGTATTTCTGACATGTTGTTGGACACAGTTAATTTCACAACCCATAGTTCATTGTCAGTAGTTGCTAAAATCAGTGGATACACATTACTTTTTAAAAATTGTTATTAATAACCAGCAATGTTTGAGTACCTTGTGATTATTTATACATACATATATAAATATATTTATTCTTTGTATAGTCTGTTAAATAAAAATACAGTGATTTGGTTTTATTAGTAGTATTTAAATTAGTTGCCTAATTTTCATATTTGTGGTAGATGTGATAATATATAGCCCTTTCCTCCATTGAACTTGATATGGTAAAATCTATAGGTAAATAAATACAATATAATATTTAACTGAAGGTATTACTTGATTACTTGTGTTGTTAATATGAACTTTTTCTCAGATTAAGGATAGAGAAAAAGCCTAGATGGCAGCCTCAACTGTTTATGCGAGGGAAAGTATAGATATTAAGCTAAGAAAACTGTATAAAACAGTGAGAAAAGTTTCATTTTCTTTCTGCCCAAATCACAACCAAAATTAGATTCTTTTATTTATTTTTTCTGTAGGAGGAACAAGTGAAAGTGAACCTATGCTAAGCCACACAGTCAGGAAGCACCTTCGGAAAACTAGACTTGAGTTACTTCATAAAGAATATGAGGTAAACAATGCTTAACATTTAAAATGATTTCAGTGGGAAATGAGCTAAAATTGAGCTATGTCAGTCCCCACACTTCTTAAATACCCAGTAAAACTTTACTCTGAATTCTATTTTTAAAAATGTTTTATGTGATAAATTGTTTTTTTCCCTTTTTTATTTTAAATAGAGGAAAATTTTCTTTTTTCTTTTTTTTTTTATTCCTTTAAGTACCAAGGAAGGAGAGACTATGACTCCATAGGACAGGAACAGATGGAAATGTTTCCTTTGCTTGTTTGTTTTTTCAATTTAAAATTTGTATCTTTACAAATGTGCTCTTTTATATTTGCTTCTTTAAGAAGTTGAAAGATTATTGAAAACCCCCTTGTGGAAGTCATTCACATCCCACACTTAACCATTTGTTTTTGCCTATAAATTCATTGATGATTACAAGTCTGACCAGTTCTGGTGAGTTAAATGTACTTTGTCACTGTCAGCACACTGATTTTTGGTGTGAAATATACCATTTCCTAATTCTTGTCTAAAGGTGAATGAGCAAGCTGATTTACTAACATGGTGAAATTTTCCAAACAAATGTGTGCTAATTGAATATATTTTTTAATGGTAGACATTATATCCAGTTATTTTGACTAAAGGGGTATTTTTTTAATCTCTTCTTTAGATACAAAATACCTTTTAAGTTAAACTATATACATAGAAACTACCCTCAGCTGCCTCAAAAAATTGATTTTGAAATGCAGTGAGACATTCATTTGTATATGTATTTTCCACATATAAGGAAATATAAACCCATATGTTTATATTTGTTAATATATTGTTTTAAACAGCAACTTATAAAGCTACTTATCTTGAAATGTATTATAATTTAAAATAGTATAATGCACTATGCTAAACTCTAAAATGTATTCTTACATACTTAGTATTTATTTTGTTGTTGGTGGTGGTGGTGGTGTGTTTTGTTTTGTTTATTTCTTTGTTTTGGTACCAGGAACTTGGGTCCTTGTGCTTGTGAGGCAGGTGGCAGAAAGTATTTGTTATACTTAACTACTAATCAGATTAAACCTTTGATAGATCACTGGCTGTTTTGATCTGTTTTCTGTAGCTATAATAGTATACCTGAGACTAAGTAATTTGTAATGGACAAAAATTTATTTGGTTCGTGCTTCTGAGGCTGAGAAATCCCACAGTGTGGCAGCAGTATAGGGCAGGACTTTATGCTGCATCATCCCCTGGTAGATGATGGAAGGGAGAGAAGCGGGCGGTAGTATATGAGCAAAACGGGGAAGGGTGTCTGAATTTGTTATTTTTATTTGGAACCCACTCCCTTGATGACTAACCCGCTCCTGCAGTAACAGCCGTACTCAATTTATAAGGGCAGAGCCTGAGGCCTAATCACTTTTATCAGTTTCAACTTTTCATAATGTTCTGATGACAATTAAATTTCAATGTGTTTGGGACTCACTGAAATTATATCACTGATATACTGAATTACTTTTAGTTTATTTTCTAACAGAATTTTTAACAGCTTAATATAATGTATTTATAGATGTATAACTGATAGCACAGATTTTTAATCCAAATGATTAGTGATTACATTTATAATAAGCAATAAGCTGGTTGTAGTGGCACATACCTATCATCCCAACACTGGAGATGTTGGGGCAGGAGGATCACCATGAGTTCGAGGCTCTACTGGGCTACCTAGTGAGTTAGGTCACGCTGAACTACATAGCAAGATCTGTCTCCAAAAAACACCTAAATAAAGTAAAATAAAATAACAAACAGATTCATAGTGAGAAAACTAATACATATAGTATTTATAATGATAATTGAAGACCCAGAACCTAGAGAAGTTAAAAATTAACTACAGGTATTATTCTGATATGAAATGTAGAAAGATGTACGATTTCATTCCTGCAAGTATAGAGAAAAATAATAAAGATCAAACAAAACACTAATCAATCACCTTGATTGGCATGATAGTTAATATTTTTAATTATCACCTTGCTCACTTTGATACTTGTAATTCACCTCAGTAAAGCAACTAAACATCCCTCACATTTTTCTTCTAAAATGGAATCTATTCCCTCACTTTTTTTTTTACATTTTTCTTTTACTTTCTGGATGATACTTTAAATAGAATCAAAGATGTGACATCTTTAAACCAAAACTATAATTGAATTAAAAATCAAACAGCATAAATGTCAGTTTTTATTACAAACAGGATACATTTTGAAAATTTAAACTGTATAGTGCTTTCTCCTTGCAAAAAACTACTATGATGTGTAAAGAATATATGTACCTATAAAAATTTGAATGTAACGTTAAAGAACACATTTCCTTCAGTTTTGATGTGTTTAACATCTATGTCTGCCTAATGACAGTGATACTTTTTCAGGATGAAATAGATTGTTTGCAGAGAGAGGTAGAAGAGCTTAAAAGTAAAAACCTCAGCTTGGAGTCACAAATCAAGTCTATTCTGGATCCTTTAACCTTGATGCAAGGCAACCAAAATGAAGACAAACATCCAGTTGCAGATAATTCAAATAAAATTGACTTAGAAACTGTAGAAGAATGGAAGAAAAAACTCAGAACAGCTAATGAAATTTATGAGAAAGTAAAAGATGATGTGGATAAATTAAAAGAAGTAAGTTGTGGTTTTGAAAAATGTAGTATGTTTTTTTAACAATTCTGTAATAATGTATGCACCTTCAAAAGTAAAAATAGCTATACTGCCTTGATTCATTATTAGATAATTTGTGAGTGAAGGATAGAATTCCTGGAGAAATATGTATATGCAATAGAAAAATTTTTTCAAAGTATCCTTAGCTGCCAAGAAATATCAGGTGATTCCATTTATGACTGTAATTGGAGACTCTAGTGCTTCTTTATGAGATTGCATCTTCTGGAAGAGTAACATCAATTTAAAGGATGTGCTTCTGTTTCCCCCATTTTGTGGTTAGCCTTATTTTTTTAAGCTTGTGTCAGTGACTGCCGTGTGTGCATAAAAACAAACACATACCCATCTCCCTACTTATAAAAAGAAAGGTTTTGGCTATATCTTTTTTTTTCTTTTCTTTTCCTTTTTTTTTTTTTGGTAGCAGGGATCAAATTCAGGTCCTTGTGCTTGTGAAGCAGGCGGTGGAACCACTGAGCTAAATCACCAGCCCTTGGCTATATCTTTTATAATGCTACCCTTCTCAGATTTTGAAGATTGTAGATAGATACTGAAATGCTTAATGACTAATTCTAAGAGCTGTGAACAATTGCTTCACACTAAGACTACTCCATGCAATATTGTGACTTATGAGGCTGGTTCATTTTTTTCCCCAATTACTCTTTCATCCATCTAGCAAAATAGAGCAGAAGTGGAAAGGTATACCATTTTATACTGTTTTCCAGCCTAGAAAAAAGAACAGATTCATGCCTTCAGCACTAGTGTTAACTATCAGGTGCTCTAGTGCTTTCTTGACCAAAGACCAGTCTTTGCTTAACTTCAAGTTTATCTGCCCTGATAAACCCTTCAGGTTTATCTGGTTGTTCTGTAGTACTCTGGTCTACAATCACCCCTTCAGTCTATATGCAGGCCCTAAGATACAGCTTTTGAACTGAATTACCAAATCCTGTACCCTGAAATCATTAATGAGCTCCATATGATATTTTTTAAAAAGTGCCACTGTATGTTGGCTCTCAGATCTTCAGTGAGGTTAAGTAGCGGAAAAGTATTTGCAACTTTGTGGAAGGCATATTCTGTATACAAAATAAATGCTGTTTGGGCTCAGAAAAGGCCAAGATGAGAGGAAGAAGGAAATAGTGCTTTCAGAGGAAAAAAGAACTGCAGACCTAATTGCACCTACTTTGTTACAAGTTTAGTGGAAATGTATTGTTTCTTTGTGTATTGATGACCAATCTTAGTATGTTAGGTTGTTAGACAAAAAAGAACACTAAAAAGAATAACAGCTAAAATGTTAGTGTTTATCAGTCTGTAATTTCTCCTTTAATCTCTGTACCTCTTCTTGATCAGTAAGTTTTATATGGTCTACTTCATAGTTAACTACATTTTTGGTAGGGAATGCTTCTTACAGCATGAAACTTTGTGTAAAAAATACTCTGGGCTCATAAGGGTAGTATGGGAAATGTATTTAAAAGCACACTAAACGCAAATCAATACCCGTAGTTATCCTGACTCTTTCTAATAATTTAGAGTATTTAATAAGCTTATTTTTGATGCCTGCTGATATTATTAGGTAATAGAGTATAAACCAGAACATCTGTAAATAAGAAAACTTGGACTACAGAGACAAAACTCAAATGTGAACTGTTGGAAAAAAAAATAACACACTATAAATCAAATATGAGTATAAAAGGTTTGGAATAAAGTATTGCTTAGTATAGCCTTTCTGATATTTCCTGGACTAGGTGAATTTGAATTATAATGAAGCCAGTATCATCAGCCAGTCAGTGTTAGAATAGTTAGCTAAAGTCTTCATTAATTTCTTGGGTGCAACTACTAATAGGTAAAACTCTACTCTTTGCAACATCTGTTCACATAACTCTCCTAAACTTAATAGTTGTGAAATTAGCCGTCCCACAATGTGAAGTATTAAGAGAGCCACAAGACTGGCAAGAGGCCGTGAAACTTGAAGTAATGATACAGTATGAGTGGGGATGGGAAAAGAAAATCAAATGAGTTTCTAATTTAAGCTTCTTATCATCAGAAAGCATTCACTAAGTGCCTCCCGTTATGGTGCAATGCTTGAAAGCTTAATTTATTGTCTGTATATATGAGGAGGTAAATGGCTTTCCTTATATCTTCAGAGGGCCAGTAATTGGTCACTTAAAGAATTAACCCTTCACAATCCTAGTTGGTGTGCATCCATGAAGATGAACAAGTCCCTCAAGCCAAAAAGGAACCTGGATAAGTCTTAAGTAGCTGGAGACTTAGGTAGTATGCCCAAAAGAATGTCTTCTGCCTTACTTGTGAGTTTTGTGATGCATTTGTACGTAGGTGGGTAAGAAAGTAATTTCTAGATCTTGTGAAAAATTAGTCAAAACATTGGGCAGGGGTAAGGGGAAAAAATGAGAATCAGGACTTGTCATGTAGAGGTACAAGATCCCCAATGAATGTTAACCCTTCACAATCCTAGTTGGTGTGCATCCATGAAGATGAACAAGTCCCTCAAGCCAAAAAGGAACCTGGATAAGTCTTAAGTAGCTGGAGACTTAGGTAGTATGCCCAAAAGAATGTCTTCTGCCTTACTTGTGAGTTTTGTGATGCATTTGTACGTAGGTGGGTAAGAAAGTAATTTCTAGATCTTGTGAAAAATTAGTCAAAACATTGGGCAGGGGTAAGGGGAAAAAATGAGAATCAGGACTTGTCATGTAGAGGTACAAGATCCCAACAATGAATGTAACTGTACTGTATCCCTAAAATATACCAATAAACTCAATTAAAGCTGAAAAAAAAATGGCCAAAGTTTTGAAATGTATTTTTAAGGCTTCTTGGTTTCATCTTTTATTTATTTATTTATTTTTTTGGTACTGGGGATTGAACTTGGGACCTTGCACTTGTGAGGCAGGGGGCAGAACCACTGAATTAAATCCCTGGCTTAAACCTTTTTTTTAATTTTTTTCATAGTAGTTCTTATGACTCCTTAACTTTGAATGTAAATATTCTAATCAAATAATTTACCTTGCCAGTTGAGTGAGACTGGTTGGTAATCTAGAGTCTTATTTTTGTTCAAAATACACAATGAAGTACACAAATGCAAGGAAATTTAAAGAAATTGGCTGCAAGGAAATTTAAGGAAATTGGCTTTTAAGAAGATTCTAAAATTTAAGAATGTCATTTTTCAGACTTCCACAATCAATATTGAGCCACTATATTTTTCTAGCAAGTAGTGTCTTTTCAGGTATTATATAATTCAAAAAAATAAAATATTACTTCAGTTTAACTCAAAGAAAAATCCATGGAATTGATTAGAAAATACTGACCCAATTTTGAGCTTTCCAGAAGTTGTGAGCCAGAAAATTTGGAAAGCTTTTTTGAAGAAAGAAAATAAAATGCTTAATTATACTTGATTTATCACTAGAAAAATATTTTTAGGTAGCAACCAAGAAATCAACCTCATAGGCCAAGAATTCTTTAACATTAGTTTGCAAGTAGTTCATGCAATCTGTTGTTAACTTGCTTATCTCATTTAATTATCTAAAAGAAAAAAAAACCACATAAATTTGCCATTAGTATGATTCCTTAATGACTTTAAGCTAGCTCCCTAACATAGCATTATTTCTCTGGCAGAATACAAAGTGGAGAACATGGATTAAAAATGCTTAGTTGTGTTCAATTTCACATGTTATTCTCAGTTGTAATTGTAAGTTTCTGAAAACCACATTCTAGCATTCCATTTTCTGATATTGCTCTAAAACATGCAGATGGCTCATGTCATGATTTTTATAAGGTACTTTTGTTTTAGCTTATCTTAATTACTTTCAACTCCTTTTTTTAAAGGCAAATAAAAAACTGAAATTGGAAAACAGTGGCCTGGTGAGGGAGAATTTACGACTGAAGGCTGAAGTTGATAACAGATCACCCCAGAAGTATGTATTTTGCCCACAGAGCAATGTGTCAGGTTATGTCAATGTTTTAGACTAGGCTGCTGTGATTATACATGATTTTTATTTGACTTTTCATTTAAGCAAGTAGACTGACTTGCCTCTAAAATTCTAGAGCATACTTTGTGTTATTAGTAAAATTTTAGTCTCCATTAAGGCTAATTTTGAATTCTTATCCTTTTCCTTTGTCTGATTACTGAGAGGTTCATTTTATACTAGTATTTACTTGATTTTACCTAAAACTGTTTGATAGTGCTAACAAATAGTGAGATTAGAGTAAAGCCCTTTAGCTGTTATCTGAGATAATCCTAGTAATAGTTAATAGTACATGATTTTTACCAGGTACAACAGGATGTAATGTAGAACTTTATTTACAGATGAGAAGATGAAAGCATAGAAAGATTAATTTATCTAAATCCGCATAGCTAGCAAGTGGTAGAAAAAGCATTTGAGCTTGGGTAGACCATCTCTGGAGTCTGTGCCCTCGACTATTACATGAACAAGACTCTGAGATGGGATTTAAAGCATTGCTCTTTGAGCTTTGGAGTGATTTGAAACTAAACAATTAAGTTAATTTATTCCTCCTTTTTGATGGAAGTTTTCATTCTATTCTAGAAGATAAAAGATTACTAGTGTTGATCTGTGTAACAGTTAATTTGTCTGTTTAAAGTTATAAGAGTTAAAGATGGTGAAGAGGTGGACTATACCACTTATAGTTCTTTTTCCAGGCAGAAAAAAAAAAAAATGTCTCCTTCCCCCAAGGTCTGGCAGTTCTACCCTTCTCATTCAGCCACTAGATTTCATTTCTTTCTATTTTAAAAAGACAAGACAAGGATAAGCAATTAATGGAAATTTAGCCTACCAGAAATGGCTCTTTGCTTGTCATTGAAAAAAGAAGACAAGTTGCCCTCAGTAAAATTGATATGGTTATGAAGAAATGGTATAAGTAAACCATAATTATACAAAGCAGATATTACTAACCAGTAAAGAGCATAGCTTTTACTTTTAAATAAGTCCTTCCACTGTGCTCTCCAGCCCTCTTTTTCTTTCCCTTCAGATAATATCCCACTTTGTGAAATTATTGTAATAAATTTAGGAAGTGTTGTTTTTATGTGTTGATTTGAATTTCTGTTCCTGTCATTTATTGGCAACTTGCTTTGCCAGTCATAGTAATGCTTGTCCATTAGCCATTTCCCACAGCATGCTGAATGGAACAGAAGCTATTTTGTTTGTAGCTTTTATTTCTTGAAAAGTTGCCACCAGATTGCAAAGTTAATGCCAGCTACATGGATGTGTGTTTATAAATATCCAAGGCTTCATCCAGATAAATAACTGAGATACTTCCTGAAAAAAGCTGGCCTCTATCTGTTCTCTGTCAAGAAGCCACACAACTAATCCAACAAAATGTTGGGCTTTGCCATCTTTAAGTTCTATTCCTTTCCTTCACAGGAAAAGAACACTTTCACTTGAAAAATAATTTGAGCTGACCCCCTGTTCCAGATCAATTTGCAATGCATGAGGTATTAAGTACATTGCATTTGATTTATAGCCTTGTTTATTCTGCATCCCCAAACTCTAGTGGGATTCAGAGAGAAGCTGACCACAGCTGAAAATACCCAGATATGGTTCATCTGAGGAGAGCTCCTACTTGTATAAAAAAGAATATGAAATTTCAAGAATTTGCAAATAAAAAGATTTCATTTTATTCCCTCAGTGTAATAACAAGTCCTTTGACCAGGTTTTTTTTGTTGTATACGTGGCAGAGTGTAAAGGAATACTTTTAATACTCATACTCTTAGTCTTTGATGGATCCTATAAATTGAGCAATCATAGTCTATAAATGCTACAGAAGAAAGAACTTTAAATTTTAGATACTAGAGAGGGAAAAAATGAGGAAGGTGTATTAACTCTGGCTGCCATAACAACAGATTTATTTTCTTACAGTTCTGGCAGCCGGAAGTGCCAGATGAATTTTTTTGGTCCTGGGATCAAACAACGGTCCTTGCACTTGTGAGACAGGCATAGTGGCCACTGAGCTAAATCCCTGGTTCCCCAGATGAAGTTTTGACAGTATAGTTTTTCTCTCTTATTTATGGCCACCTCCCCATTATGTCCTCATGTGATAGGGAGAGAAGAGTGAAAGCACTCTTGTCTCTCATATTCTTCCTGTATGGACACTTATCCTATTGGATTAAGGCCCTGCCCTTATGATGTCATTTAAGTTGAAATTACCTTCTGAATACTCAGTATTTGAGTCCAGTCACATTAGAGGTTAGGCCTCAATATATGAATTCTGGAGTATATAGCAGAACGTATTCTTTCAAGACACTCAAGTATGCTATTCACAAAACACTAGACTACAATTTAATGTAAGTAAGAGGGATTTAAAACTTTATATTGAAGTTGATGTTTTTTTAAAATTTTTAATCAATATGTTTGCAGTGCATGATGATTACTTCTATCATGGGGAACTGGTACATCTACATAAGATATCTTAATTCTTTTTAAATCCCCTTCAGTGAGAAGTAATTTTTGTGGCGCTGTAATCCTAGCACTGTAGAAGGCTGAGGCATGAGGATTACATGCATGTGCAACTTATCAACTTAGTGAGACTCTCAAAATAGAAAATAGGGGTAGGGATGTATCTCAGTGTGCCGGCCTTGGGTTCCATCTCCAGTACTGCAAAACAAAAGAAAAAAATAGCATTATGATCTTCTAAAATGAAGGTCAAGATTATTATTTCTCTCCTCTGCTACTATATTTCTTTTATACTTCATTATAGCCAGTCTTAAAATGTACCTGGACATTTTTCCTTCCTCAACTATAGTTAACTTTTAAAGTTCTCTTGAGCAGTGTGGCCAGTTGATAGCCTACTAAGCATATTGCATAACATCCATTCTGTTCTTTGTCAAAGTTTCATTGTCTCAATATCTAAGTGAATGGTCCAGAAAATGCTGGGATTATTTTACTTTATCTATTAGCCACTTTTGGATTTATTTCCTTCTAAATTAATTAATTTTCACCCAGAGGAAACTGCCACTTATTTCCTTCTCTAGTTTATCCTAACATGGACTCCTAAGAAAACAGTATCTGATATATAGAGATCAAAGCATGGTGATATATCATTTACTTTACAAGAGTAATATCTGAAGAAAATTCACTCTACCATCCAAACCAGAAATACTACTGGTATTTTGTTTGCTTTGTTTTTTAAATACCTTACAAGGGGCTTTAGCTATACAAAATAAATATTCCTCCTAATATAACCTAATATAGGTTAGATTCTGTTGCTTTAATTTCTCTTATTGCTTTGTAGTTTCCTTCTCAGCATATACCAGAAGTGCAAATAATTAACATTTTATGTGTTTCATGACTTTCTTCTGTTTGAACCAGTTTTAATAACTGTTATGTCTACTACATTTTATAGAGTTCTGGTTCATGTCCTGGTTCTAATACAAACAGATCAAGTAGAATGGGTACCCTCAATAGGGAAAATAAGTAGATTTCTTCATCAAATTATTGGCAGGAGAGAAGGGGTTGCTTTACAATACAAGAGAATTAAGAAGCTGGGTGTGGTGATGCATGCCTGAATCCCAGCACTCCAGAGGCTGAGGTAGGAACACAAGTTTGAGGCCAGCCTGAAGTACATGGTAAGACCCTTTCTCAAATAAGAGGGGGTAAGTATGCGTAGGGGTAGAAATAGAGGTAGAGGTAGAATTAAGAGACATTTTAAATGCAGAGTGTGAATCTTATTAGGCTATTGGTTAATACTGTCAAAAACTGTCAAATATTGGTCAATATTGGATATTTTCTAAAAGACATTTTTTATTTAATTGGGTAAATTGAAATATGCAGCAAGTATTAGATGATACTAAGGAGTTACTATTAATTTTGTTTAGGAATCATGGTTATTTAAGAAAATACATATTTATTTTAGTCCATTTTGGTCCATATAGCAAAATACCCATATATTAGTTGGCTTATAAACAGGAGAAATTTATTTCACACTGTTCTGTAGGCTGAGAAATCAGACCAAGGTACCAGCACGTAGGATGTTGAATGAAGGCCAACTTCCTGGTTCATAGATGCTGTGTCTTGCTGTATTCTCACATGGTAAAAGGGGCAAAGGAGCTCTCTGAAAGGGCTTTTTGAAAGACACAGTTTAAATATTACATTGTTAAAAATTAGAAAAAAAATTACATTGTGAGAAACCAAAAGTGTGAATAAGGAACAAAATGTATAATAGATATTGGAAAATGGGAGGAAAATGTTCACATGTGAAAGGGAGTAAGGGAGGAAAAAGAAGCCAGGAGTGGTGGTGCATGTCTGTAATCCCAGCACTAGGAAGGCTGAGGCAGGAAGATTGCTGTGAGTTCAAGACCAGCCTGGGCTACATAGTGAGCTCCAGGTCAGTGTCAACTACATAGTGAGACCCTGTCTCAAAAAACAAACAAACAGACAAAAAAGAAAAGAAAGAAAAGAAAGGAAGGAAGAAGAGTAAAGAAAGGGAAAATAAAGAGAATAGAAGTGGAAACAAAGCTTTTGTAAATGAGGGGAAGAAAGGTTGAAGCTCTAGGGGAGGGAATTGAGGAAAAAAAGGATCAAAATATATCATGTGCAGGTATAAATTCCCTATGATGAATGTGATCACTATATATATCTAAAATGTACCAATAAAATTAACAAAAAGAATAAAATAAAAAGGTACTTAGCCCATTTGTGCTGGATTTACCTTCATGATCTGAAAGTATGATCATTGCCCACCCAGCAGATACCACTTCCCAGAGACCCTAACTCCAAATACCATCCTACTGGGAATGTAATGCAACAGGAGAATTTTGGGGAGCACAAAATGTCTGTGGCACCCTATTTTCTTTTAAAATGCTTTCTTTTAAAATGGATTGCAGAGTATGTTAGCCAAAGAAAAGAGATGTAACAGTAATGAGGCCACAATCTTGATAATTTTTAAATATCAGAAGTGAGTA